ATGCAGCATGTGTAGTGTCAGTGGATGCATTAGTTACATTAGGGCCTAATGCCATACAAGTCTCATGTTTTATTAATAGAAAATGGCCTCAATTTTTGACAGCATCTAATAACCATATCTGTAATTATATATATATATATATATATATATATATATATATATATATATATATATATATATATATATATATATATATACAGTTTGTCATATTTTAATGATTGAAACATCTCACCCTATGACTATAGCTATGGCAAGTCAGTTAAAATACAACTAGTGACAAAATATCATAATTATTAAAGTAAATTAAGTGGGGTACAAAAAATAATGTGCTAAAAGCTGAAATTACTGTTAATCAGAGGTTATCTTAATTAACTAAGTTGCAGATTTAGACAATTAGTAGTGACAATGGCCAGGATTTGATTAAATTATTGGCCCTTATGATGACAGTTAAATATGCTTCAACAGCAGATTGATCCTAACTGCTTCAATATCTCTTTAAATTTTCTAAGAAAAATTAGAGAACATACAAAAAGTGTTACTATGAGTAAATAAAAATAATATCACTTGTCAGTTTACATGTTCTTTGTTGCATATTAAAATTTTATCTGAAATTACAGTTATTTTTAAGATAATATGTTACATTTTATATTGTTTTAAAAAACCCACATCAGGGTCCCTGAGTGGCCAAGTGGTCTTAATCGATGACCGTTACAGATCACTGCCATTTCCCCTCTTGTGGAAATGGGTAAGTGAGAAAGCCTTCCAGAAGCTTTTCGTGGGTCATGGTTCTTCCTGGGGCTTTCCAGGGTTCTTCCTCCACCATTAATACTGGCCACCATGTATAGCTTGTCTTGTGCCGAAAAATGGTGTTAAACCCTATAACAACAACAACACCGACATCTAAGGCTATTTTATGAGTTGGGATGAAATGTTACTATAGGTATTTGAGAATTTCAGATAATCAAATATTTCTCTAGGAACTGTTGATGTAATCAAATGAATAATTCATGAGAAAATTTGTTCATCATAGTTCATGAATGATGAAGACCCAGTTTGTGAACTTTTATGAACTGTTCATGAATTTAGTTAAATTTAAATATTTCATGAAATGTTCAAGAATTGTGAATTGAATTCATTATTTCATGAATTGACCATTTTCAGTTCATGCACAGTCATAACTCATGAATCTTTTGATGAACTTTCATGGATGGTTCATGAATCTGTTAAGAACAGTTCATGAATTATTCATTATCATTTCATAGGGGTGGTTCTCTTTACAAGTGAATATTAATATGGTCAAACAAATGATCTTTGAAAAAGGAAGATATACAGCCACATCATCAAAATGAACAAAAATTACCTGGACCAGTCAAAACACTAATGGAGGATTTTTTAAATATTTTTTTCCCTAATGGAGGATTTTACTTTTTGTAAAATGTCTTATTATGTAACCATACCTATTTGCAATTACAAATGATAAATTTAGAATAGCTCATAGTGGTCTCATAGTGGTTTAGAATAGTATCACATAATCAAATTCTTGCTGCAGAAGTATATACCTAAATTAGACATCCAGAAAAGTTATGTTTATTGTGCAACCAGAACATGACAGAAACAGAGTATGGCTTCCTACTTGTTTGACCTTTTTTTCATGACCTTTAAAACATAGATTGTTCCATTATTTTTTGCTTTATATTATCTTTAAAAGAGTGTTAACAACTTGTAACACTGCATCATACAGTACTATTTTGGAATTCTTTATTTTTTAAGTGACAGCTAGAACTTTACAGATATACCATTCAACACACATGTACATGCATACATATATTCTAGTTGTTGAAGAAACTGACTGACCGATTGGTAGCATATCAGCAAATGAAAGACTTTAGTGCTGAGGCCATAAGTGTAAGATTCCTAACCCAGGGATAAAATAACAAAGCAGTTGATCTGGATTGGATTCAAACCCATTATCCAGCTTGGATAGAAAAAGTCATTAATAAGTAAGTGGTTCATAGAGTTAAAAGGAACTGATGTAAATGGGTGAGAAGAAAATGTGACAAATTTTAAATAGCAAGAAGCATTAAAAAAAGAAATAGTCTAACTCAATGGCTGGAATAAAAGACTTACTGCATTATCAACACCAAGTTCTTTTAGGACCAGCTAGATAAGAAGTCTTTTGACAAAAACTATTTTTTCAGAAAGTGTAGCAATAACAATAGTTTCCATGATGACTGCCATGTTTCCATACTGGAGGCCAGATTGACAGCATCTTCAATTTCACACCATAGAAAGTCTTCTGAATGAAGTGCCATGTCAATGTGACTTTCTATTTGGGCAGCAATAACAAACATTTCAAGTTGGCTAGCGATGGTGACCATGCATGCTGAATGTCTTGTCTGCATCATTTTCATTTAGGACCTTCCAGAAATCATAAAAAGCCTTTCATTTAAACTCTCATGTTCAAACAATGTTCCATTTAGATTGAATTTGTCATAAAATATTTTTCAAGATGGTTGCCATTGTAGCCACATTTAAAGCAGCACCAGTTTTATCTAACAACAACTGGACAAAATAATGAAATCTTTTGGTGAGAAAATCATGCTGATTTGACCATCCATCTGGGGAAAGAAACAATAACAATTTTCAAAATGGCTACCAAGGTGACCATACTGAATGTCAGTCTGTATTTAGGACTATAATACAAAGGTTACTGGTGAAAACCCATGTCAATATCATAATCCAAGAGGAATCTTGAAATAAATATCAAGATGACAATCATGGTGGTCATAATGAATGTCAGCTCAGCATCATTTTCATTTAGGACAAATTAAACATACATGAATAAAGATAACAAGGACCATCTATTAACGATGAGTAGCAATATAAGTTCCAAATGGCTGCTGCAGTGGCCATACTGAATTTCTGAGCAACACCATTTTTATCTACATCCAGATAGCTGTTGGGATGAACATCTGGAAAGTTTCATGATAATCCCATTAGGAGTAATGATAACAAACTTGTGCTAAAGGACAGATGGATAAACAACAGAATATTCCCATGGACTCTTCATAAAATGAAAACCATGTTTTACAAATATGTCACATGTTTGATGTAATATCCTGAGAAAACAGCTTCAGCCATTCAGACTGTTTTCTCCTTTCCCAAACTATTTCCACATGACAGTATGGAAGTATGAATTAGTATGAATCATGGCCATAATAAAATAACCAAAACTATTCACAAGTTCATAAGTTAGTTTACTCTATTGGTCAACAACAATCACAAATGCACTGACAGTCATAGTCATATACACTGTATCACTTTTCAGATCTCCCTGAGGCCTTAGTCACCAAGATGTCTCTTTCACATCCGAGATAAGATTAGGAATTATTGGAACAAATAGTGACCAAGACAAGGAGAGGGTTTACAAAATCTCTAAATATCCACTTGCCCTACTGTTAGGCAAATACTAAAATTTTCACTCACCCAGCTCTTACTCTGAGCTTCTTTGCATATAAAAAAAATTAGCAACATAAACTCAACTGAGTGAAAGGTTCTTTTCCGGAACTGTTTTCAGTGACCCTTCAAATACTAAATGCAATAAATTACAACCTGAGACTAGTCTGCTCTCCTTCTTATAAATGTTTATCATTCATTAAGAGTGCAAGCACTTGCATGAATCTGATTTTTTTTTAATTTGGAAACAAAGGTTTTATTTGAAAGCAAAAGGTTTTTCCTAGATTCTCCTCATTGATAATCTTTGCTTGTATGCTTTACCTTAGGTTCTTACAATAATTCTTAAGGTCTTTAATTTTTATTATGCTGCTCTGCCTGGTCATTTTCACTGCCTGGACTTGTAAATTGGAAATAATAAAAACAGCCAGACCATAACTTTACAGTTTCCTTTTATATTTTATACATGTAATTCATTTTTGTACTTTAAGAGTAAATATTGCATTTCCTTGGAAAATTATTTTTTTCTTCTTTTTAATAATAGCTCAAGTATAGTGTACTTTGCATTAGTTTATTTTCAAGCAAATTGGAGAAGCCATTTTGTTAGCTGTCTGCTTTAGGCAGCATGTTGTTTCCCCAATACATGTATTAAGTAGGTATTGCAAAATTGTAGTTAAAGTTACATTAAGGTTAATGCTAACATTCTCAGAACTGTACTGTACTTGTTAACTAGGAGTTCCATGCTTAAATAATTAAATTTCTTACTATCACTAAAATACTAAATTATTCTGATTAAACATGTTTAATCCACTTGCATGCCAGGACTGGAAATCTGTGGCAATTATAATTTGTGATACTGAAAATTCCCAGACCAAATGACAAGAATTTGTCTTTCCATTACGATGAACCAGAAAATTGAGGAAATCTATCTCAACCCTGATCCAACCTACAGAAAACTTGCCAATGGGTACTTTCCAAATCAACCTAAATAAGTTGGACATAGAGGGTGGGATGACATGAAGAAATCTGGCAATAGCAACAGGTAAGTATTACATCATTAAAAAAATTTAGCTTTTTAGCCCTTAAATGAAACTGTATTTTTAATATCAGCATAGTTGAATTTGTGTGTGTGTGTGTGTGTGTGTGTTTTAATTTTAAACATAGCTTCCACAATTTTTGTCATAATGCAATGATGTATACAGACTGTGTGACAGTTTACAGCAGGGGTCTCAAGCAATTGGCCCATGACCATACGAATTCCACCAAGCCATATCCAGTGGCCCACCAAATAATTTGCATCATAAGGTACCATGAGAGATAACAAAGATGGTGTGGCCCTTTGGGTCATCAAAAATGCCCTCATTCTTTCCTCAGGGTTGTTTGAGTTTGAGAAACCTGGTTATAATGATGTCTAACACTGGCACATCATGCTGCAGACCTGTAGCATCATATCCCACCCAGTCACATTATCCTGACAACAACCAGTCCTAACACTATCCTCTTAATGCTGAGCACCAAGCGAGGCAGATGCTAGTACAATTTGTACAAGTTTTTGGCATGACTCAACCAAGGTTTGAACCTGCAACCTTCCACATCAAAGGCAGATGCAATAACCACTAAGCCACCATTTGTAGAATAGGAGAGCTATCAAAGGCAGGATGAGAAGGCAGTTTGAGAAAGAAATAATGTAGCTTCCATTGCATCCTCCAGAGATGAATGAGTTATATAGGCCCATGAAGCAGCAATGGCTCAAACCTTATGGTCATTAAATTTCATGAAAGAAGGGTCCCTATATGTAAAGAATTTAAAATCTCTCTTGATAGTTATTGTACTTCGACCTTAAAATGGTGAATACTGAAATATCAGTTGAACCTTTCATAAGGAAGAAGACACTTCCCACTGTTTTTTCTCTCTTTAGAGGCCAACAAAAAAAAATCCCTAAATGAACATAAATGCCTGTGTTGATCATCTCTAAAAACTGGTAAAACTGAGACTTTAGAGAATCTCAAATGATAGTGGAGCAACCAGGGGAAATTGTCTTTTTGCTAAAATCTGGTTGGCAAAGGAGATTCAAAATTTCCTTTGAACCTTAGACAGCCTTGTTCTACTGATCCAGCATGATGCTTGTCTGTTTGTCCCATGGATGTACAAAGCAGCCTAAAGGATAAGGCCCTTAAAGGAAGCTTCACCCAACAGACCTAAAGGGGATTTATTTAGAGCCCACAAGACATATAGGTGATCAGATCTACAAAGTGAAAGTCCGTAACAATGGCAAGGTCTCTCATAATAGAAACCATGCACTGTTTCTCCCCAAGCGAGAATCAAACTTATTCTTCTATATTATTATGAGATGAAACTCACCTTTTAAAAACAAATTTCCTTAAAGTGCCATTCTGTGAATGTAAAAGTTATAAAATGTTTAGTGCATTACTAAACTGTTAAAAATTTAAACCATGAGGACAAAAATGCATTCTGCACATAATGCACAAACATGCCAATGCAGACGTTTAGAATTTATATGCATTAGGACATTTTCTTGATTTTCACTTTCAGTATTCATGAACAGATCAGACATATAAAAATCAGTTAGCATTATCATTAATGCCAAAATATATAATATGCTAGGCAAGTTTTTTTTTCACCAATTAGTCAGTGGCTCTTGTGCCAGACAGCACCTACAAAATTTACTCCCATGTACAAAGATAACTGCAAGCTGACTTGAATGCTAAGCTAATAATGATACAATCTCTTTCAGAAAAACAAAACCTGCTGAAAAACTAGCTCGCTATTTATTGTTTAAATGGAAGACATAATTTGTAAACATATACTGTGCTATCATGAAACTAAACCTCCTCCTGGTCAACCCTGAATCTGCATTCACCCAATTTGGGTTAACAATGGAAAATTCACTCAACAATGGGAAATGTTTTCTCACCATTTCATGCTGTGGTGAGTGAATTTTCAACCCTCGTTACAGGATAAGAGTAGGAATGTGTACCAAACAATCTGATTCACTTTCATATTTTTGAAAGCTGCATTTCCATTGGATAATTCAAAGGTCATCAGAACATGATCCTTAACTGGTAATCATCAGATCTTCATGTTGGACAGCAGACATCTGATTTTAATTGATTGAGTATGGTGCATGCTCATACTGAATGATCAATAATACTGATTCATGGCTACCTTACCAATACAGAAATCTAAAATGAAGAAAAAATTATTTAGAGACAAATTGACAGCCTTGGCTAAACAACCAAGTATCAATTAAGTACATATTAACTACTTAAAAGACATTTTTCTAATTTCCCATTGCATAGCTCAGAAATCTAACCTTGATTCAGTCTTTGTGACTCTGGTGCTAAAAGTCAGTCCCCGATTTTTACTTGTAATTTCAAAATGACTGTTAATTCAAGGCTTTACAAATCCACTTGCCCAACTCTGGGAACAAGCTCAAATTCAGTTCTTGCAAGCTCATCTTTGCAAGGAAAAAAAAAGAGGTAATGTTCAGTTCATAATGATTTATCTTTAGGAAGTTTTATATACACCTGTACCTTTTACTATACATACTGCATTCTTCATTCACAAAATACAAAACCACCTATAGTTTCTTTCAATTCTTAATTTTACACAATATACTGACAGTATTTCATTTCCTTGTAGTCAATGTCAAGGTTATTCTTGGCAATTTCTAGTACAGACATATTAAAATGAATGTACTACTCCAAGTATGTTTTGACAAATAGGAAATAACTGTGTATATTTTAAGTTATTAGTTATATTTTTAATCATAATATTAGCATGTCTTTAATGCACTTTCACTGCAAACTTGACCATGAGAACTTAATGTGAGGTCCAAAGTTGTCATGGTTACTGACTCAGAACAACTGGCCTATCAAAGGTTGTTTTGATGTATGTTGCTGTTTTCAAGGTGACTAGGAGATAATGGTTATTATTATAACTGGTGAGATTTCTTTGAACAGTGTATTTGAAAATAAAAGGCACCTGTCTAATGATAAGCCAACTGAAAGTATAGCACCCACTAGTGGTGTTTATCATCTGTTCTTTGCAGTTTATAACTGGAGACATATATTTGGTTGAAAAAATTAAATGGATCAAAATAAGTGTTCTCAAATCATTTCAAAAAGTCAGCATGTCTAAGATGTATGTTGTCAATGTCAGATAAAATTGAATAATACAGAAGCAAAGCAGACATTTGAGTCAACACTCACCAGACAAAAGGCAAAGAATGAATTCAAAGCCATCATGAACATTTCAGCAAAGGACTCTTTTAAATCTAGTTTTCTTACTGCAAATGACACTAAAATCTGCATGATCAATTGAACTTTTTTTAGAAACTTAGATCAAGAAAAATGTCATTATATATTGAAACATGATTTAAATTAAATTAATAGTGTTCCATTCATGTCTGTAGTACATTCAGTAGAACTGGTCTTTTATCTAAAATCACTTTTCTTAAAAGTTTAGCTATATCCGAACCCCTTATCTATTCTTAACTATCTTTTCAAAATGTACACGTCTTTACTCTTCTAACTATATATTTAGTCTAACCATTTCTTTATCTAAATATCTCTACAGGAATTATTAGCAAACATATTTGATAACTTTACATATAACTACTAACATATTGTTTGGTGGGACAAACAAAAACAGTATGATGAAAAGAACAGAATGTACATGTATTTGTTAAATAATTATAATGTAATTTTTGAAAACATTATAATATATTTAACTATGGTTTTTTAAAACTTTAATTGGGATATTTTTTTCATATTTTAGGGCAAGCTCAAATCTCTCCAAGGGCAACTTAAATTTTCTGGTCAGCTTGCCCTTAATAAACTGACTTTTATAAAATGTGTAAAGCCCTAGTTAGTTGTTTTATGGTACGTCTTTAACAAGTCAATAAATGATCTTTTATATTCTTCTACATTATTTTAAAATTTCTGTTCTATTAGTGTCATGTTAAATAATTAATTAAATAATTAAAATAATTTAGAATTTTGCTACAATTGCATTTTGAAAACATGACCAAGACACCTTTTGAAAAAAGATATATGTATTCCCTTAACTCTGTAATTTGAGAATAAAATGGCACATAAGGTTTAAATACCGTGAACAAGAAAATGTAAATAGTTGCCTTAAAGAATCGAAACATCATAACCTAACAAATCAGTCCTACTTAGTATGCAAAATGAATGCATCAAAACAGGAAATCTCTTTTCACCCTTTCTGACAAGAGTCTGCTATATTGTACTGATAATCAAATATATTCAGAGATCACATTTAAGAAAGTGGAAAAATAATCAAATGAACTTCTTTAGCTGAAGTGATTACTCATGCTTACTGTCTATGCTCACGCTCAAGTCTGATCCAACTGCAAACTTCATAAGTCCAGATCTGCCACTACATCACTGCCAGCAGATGGATTTATTACAATTTGTTAGGAGTAATCAGCACAACAAGCAACATTTACACTGATCTGCCATCACATACCAGTGTCAATTTGAATCTCGAAAGCACAGTCAGCATTTGAAGCCTCATGATAGAATTTCACATACAGCAGCACTCAAACACATGAAGAACTGTGGTTCAACCATTTTTTGGTCCAAGTGGTTGTTCATTAAAGTTGTCAAGATTGCAAGCAAAAGAAGGCTTGCATTAACCTAATGAAGCACCTCAAGTGACAAGATATGATTTAGAGTTAAAAAGCTGCAAATCAATTGGGTTTCAGTGCCACCAGAAGTTATTCATTTAAGATTATAGGACTGTCTAGAATGGTACTAATGCTTCTTTATCATATTATTTTTTCTCTTTCTCTGTCATAGGTAGCTTAGATTGTGAATCACATAAACTCTATCTATATACTGTATGTTCATTACCCTATTCAGGCACAATAGTACAGATGCACTCTTCTGCATGCAGTCAAAGAAGCAAGTTATGCAGGAGGATGTGACCATAGCTTAGTGGTTTGCTGGACTCCACTAATAGGTGCATGTTCAAATCTTTTCAATGAATAAACCAGGTTCAGTGACAATAATGTGTCTTCCAGCAAAGCGCTTGATTTTAACTGCCTCAGAATAACATACTTGTGCTGCAGCTGCTATGCCATACATAAAAAGCCAAACAAAATCGAAAAAACTTTTTGGGTAATCTGATAGAACAATACCTGTAACAAAGATTGAATTGGATAACTATTATTTTTTCACTGGCATGTAGTGAACTTTCTCAGAGCTGTCATTCATATGAGATCCTGATGATTGATGTCTACATATTTTTATCATGTTTAATTACAATCAAATTAGAAATACAGCAATCAGAATGGTAACAATTTCAGCTAATCCAGTGCAAATTCTCCTCATTAATAACTGGATTATGATCCTTACTGAAATCATTCAAAATCTTCATCACTTAATTAATTCCAATTCTGAATATAATTGGATCAGAAATATGCATTTGAGAGTAATACCATGCTCTGATACCAATAATATCACAAAAGTAATATGCATGGATCTTGCTCATAACTTAAGTCTGATGAGATCTAAATATAGTGCAAGTTTTGTCAAAATAAAATAAGAAATGCGTCCTCAGAGTTGTGATAAGGTTAACCAATCAGATGTAGAGTCATGTAATTTGTATACATAGCTCTCACACCTTATACAACTGATTCCAGATTTTGATGATATAAACCCATATTCCATATCTACAGGAAATCAGATCAGAGATAGGACTCCAGAGTGGTAACAAGCAATTGGTGACAAATGGATAACATTCTATGCAAGGCAGATGATACAAAATCCATAACAGACATATGGCTACTCCATAAATATAAAACAGCCTTGGTCACCTAAAATTAGTCTCACTTGGTTTTAACCTGCATGTGATTCTACTGGAGGTAGGACAAAATACCATATTGGATTTCTATGTGAAGTTGAGAACCAGCCTGTTGTGTACTTAGGAACTGTTCCAGCAAATCTCTGCAACTGATACAAGGATGCTTGATCATGTAATGGGATTAAGGCAGACATGTATACACAACAAACTTAACTCTGTGTGTGTGTGTGTGTGTGTGTGTGTGTGTGATTTGAATTTTTAATGTAGCTTTAACAATTTTCCAGTCATATCACAATGATGTCTGCAGTGTGGCAGTTTATAGTGATGTCCTGCCCTGAGGTATCATACTGCAGACATATAGCATTATATCCCACCCAGTCACATTATCTTGACACCAGGCTGACCATTCCCAACCAAAACCCTCTTAATGCTGAGTGCCAAGGGAAGCAGCTGCTAGTACCATATTTGTAAGTCTTTGGTATGACTTGGCCATAGTTCAAACCTGTGACCTCCCACATCCAAGGTGGATGCTCTAACCACTTAGGCCACCAGAGCAGTCAATTTCTTTATTGTTCTAATATGGAGAGTTTAAACTTTACACCATATGAGGGATACTTTTTGTAATGAATAAAGGCTGAAATATGGTCATGATAGCTTTTGAGACTTTGATTGAAAATTGGCCAATCAGATGTTAATAAACTAAAATGCTATGGATCCGCTGTGTAAAGAGGACATTGACAGAGCAATTAGACAATGGCAGACCAGGACCTGGAGGAAAACATTGCCTTACATGAAATATGTTGAAATCTAAATAAACACAAGTCAATTTAATACGATTTTGTTTTTTTTTTTTTATCTTTTCATATTCAAAGTACTGCAATTTCAATGTTATGTAACAAATAATACTGAAAAGATGGGCAATTTTTGGTCATATGGAAACTGAAGCTAAAGCCTGTGTAATTTTAGTCTGGGCTTGTGATTTCCTTAAAGACACAAGCCATGGCAAAAAAAAATAATTTCTTTGAGCTCTGTATTTAAAAAACAAAACCCACACATTTAGATTTCCATTACTCACAATGAAATCAAATGATTAAGTTGTGATGCATTTCTTTCTAAAAAAAACCTTGTGGAAAACTGCGTTTATCTCAACAAACTGGAGTAACCTGAATAACATATCTAAAAGTGACACTAAATATCAAATGATTGTAAAAAAAAAAAATACGAAATAATTAATTATGACACTAAATATTATACTAAATATTAACGTCAAACCCTAGTGAAAATAATGGAAAGAATCAAATGAATGAAAATTGCAGTGATAAGAAACAACACTTTTCTTCCGACTATCGTAGTCTACACAATGTCAGTTGTCAGTCTGAGTGTAACTCCATAGCGTGTTGTTTGTCGTTCGTCTAAAATTGACGGTATACGCAGCGATAAGAAAAACAGCTGCTACAAAAATTAACCTCTATTGTACTTTCAATTTCAATATTCCCACGAATTGCAGTAAGAAACTACATAAATCACAGCGACCATCCAAACAGTAATATTGGTTTTTATTTGTCTTTTTTCCTCTCAGGAAATGTTCATTAAATCTTCGTTATTCATTATTATTTTCACAATATGACTGGTACTAGATTATTAACTCAACCTTTACATTTTAAAGCAAAACAAATGTGTAACAACCTGCACTGTATTTACGTTACTAAAAAGAGGCAAAACTCAGATGCCTAGGTCTGAATGTCAGTGTAACTAATTTACCTGTATTGTATTCCCTGCTGTAAACTGAGCGTGCCAAATCAATCAATGGGAATGTATATCTCGCTGATAGCTATCCTTTCAAATGCGAACGGAATCGGGAGGGCGTAAAAAAAACAAATCTTGACCGTGCAGTGGCTAGTGTCACTGTATATGTGGTCCAATACCTGCGAAGTGTAAGAGTCCACCCACGTGTATGTACCATAGGTAATTATAATCCAGGTTTGCTGGGTGACTTATCGTTGATAAGACTTAAATGGTTTCCTAGCTGGTAGCACTTAAGAGGTGTTGGCTGTTAGTCACTACAAGACTTTCAAGAGTCACGCATCAAAAAAGTTAGTTCCACCTGAATGACGATAATATAGCTAAATACTTTCCAACAGCGCATGTAATGGTCGGACCAGTTCATTGTCAAGGGAAGGCAGGGAGCTCAGCTATTGTCAAAAAACGTAAAGCAACTGTCTTGCTCGGATTAATAAACAGACAGAAACTAAGACAGTTCACCATATTTATTATATAAGATGGCAACAAAATCTTAGGGTAAACAAAATAATAATGAAAACAGAGTAACCCGGATCGAAATGAAAAAGTAACACCCCCACCCCAAATTAATTTATTAGCCGCTAACCGTGCATACGCTACAAAATACAAAGCGGAAATCCTGTCAGTCTTATATATGTGTAACTGTAATGTAATGGCTACAATTAGTAAAGTGTAGACCGACAGATAGACGGATGGAGACATACAGTGGCAATAAGATTCTATAAACGCATCTGCTGCCAGAATTTTTTTTTGGGGGGGGACAAATATGTAGTGGTCAGCTAATATAGGTTTTAGGATGTAAGCCAAAACATTTTTAGAGGTGAAGGGGGTGTCAGTATCCCGCCCACCCATTCGGCCCGTATTACTGTGGCCCATGTGTAGCACACAACAACAGAAATGGAAGTGTTTACCTTATGCATGAGACGTATTATTTATTTATTTATTTATTTATTTATTTATTTATTGCATTGGCAGCACAGCAATAACTGTATTTTCATTGTGGGAGATAAGGTATAGCGTGAATCAGTGATGAGTGTTGTTGACAAAGTAAATGTCCTTGTTATTTTTCAGCACAAGATACCGCTATACATGGCGGCCAGTATTAATTACAGAGGAAGAAATCAGGAAAACCCTGGAATGAACCACCACCACCCACCCACAAGAAGGATTTAAAAATGTCGAATTCCAAGAAGTTAATAAAATGAGTAGGAAAAAAATATAAAAATTGCTGTAATGACCTCAAAATCCGTCCATATCATCCATTTATGATTATAACAAAAATGTATAAAACTTCATGACTGGTTTTTTTTTTTTGTTTTTTTTTTTGTTTTTTTTTTTTAAACGTATGCACTTTTATATTAAGACAGTTTCAGGATTGATTTATGGATATCCTGAAGTGTGGAGGGTATCAGCAAAACAGTGTCCTCTGCTATCATGGTCGGACATAATCGCTTGTATTAACTTGGAGATAATTAAAAAAGATTCGTTTAAATTAAGTTATATGATATTTAACATGAAACACACACACACACACACACACACACACACACACACACACATACATACACACTGCTTGTTGAATGATTTGAGCTTCATAATCATACACATCATTTTGATGAATCTTTCTCCACATAATGGAATAATACAGTATTCCTATAAATAGCCCAGTAAACTTTCTTTTACAAAGTCTGGGTTGTGATGTGTCTAGGCTCGTAAAAGCAACAAAAAAGAGTGAAGATAACAAGCTTTGTAAAATTTAACAAAATTATTTATTTCCCTAGAAAAAAGGTAAAAATATTAAAAAGGACTTAAAGTTTATGAATCAAATCCAAAAATTTAATCCAATAATTAAAAATATAAGTCCTATCAGTAAAATGTTCTAACTGAATCAAAGTTCGAATCCAGATGAAGTTCAAAAATGGAAGGCGTTGACTTCCTCTATAACATGTTTTGTATTGTCCAGTCAACAATTCCTTGTTGAATTTTATGAATCAAGAATAATATTCTGACTTTAGGATTCCGAAAAATTTTCAGTAAATGTCTTTGCCCAAGAATGTTTAATGAGCACATGATAAAGTCTCCAGGGAAAATACATTATTTTAAATAAAAGCTCAATTCAAACTAGCAACAACAAAATAAATAATAGCTTTGAGCCCGAAGGTATGAATTACGACTGCCTAGAAAAATACTATGATACATAACTTTAACTCCACTTAAAATGCAGAACGGAAAACGTGATAGGGTCACATGATCACTTACTTTCAAGAGTCGTAGCAACATCATATGTCACTTATCTCGTCCGCCAAGGAAGAATTTCATTCTACTGAACGAATCCATAAGATTGAATAAAAATGAATTAAGTTCTTTTACATAGAACTGACACAAAAGATAAGTTTGACCTTGATTACGACCAATGATTTTCAATACTGGAAAGAAATAAAGTTGATTACCAGTTCTGAATCAAGGTCAGGAACTAGGTCAGCTAAAAATACCATGTAGCAATATTGGTTATTTACCAGGTCAAAACAGAACTGAACTGAACTTTACGACAAAAAGTAAAATCCAGTGAATCAAGTTATCATTACAATAACATGTAATGAAATAAAAATAAAATAAAATAAATTGAAACTAACACACAAGTATATTAAACTACATATACGTATAACTTCCTCCATAAAGAAAAAGAAAGATTTATATAATTAAGCTTTCTTTTTACCATGTCTAACTTATGCATATGGTAAAAAAAATCCATAAGAACTATTATGAATAAGAGAAAGTGTATATGAGATAATACTTACATACACGAGAAAGTGCATCTTCTATTAAATTGTCTTGATGAGCCTGATGTCAAGATTATATTCCTGTAACAACAAACTTCACCTTAATAATGTTTGATTTTTGTTTTCATTTTGTCGATGAAAGTTAGGGGGTTGTGATCACTAAACACAACAATAGAAGAAGGAGCTGAACTTAGGTCAACTTCAAAATATCGTAATGCCAAAATTAAAGTAAAACATTCCTTCTCGATTGTCGAGTAATTTCTTTGGTGTTTATTTAATTTTTTAGAAAAATAGCACACTGGATAATCAACACAATTTCTATCTTCTTCAATCAATACTTCCCCAACCCCAACATCACTTGCATCCAAAGATAGTTTAAATTATTGACTGAACTTTTGAGCTGTAAGAACTGGTGCACTTTTCTAAGTATGGCTTTTAACTTGTCAAAGGCCTCCTGACATTTTTCAGTTCAAAGAAACTTGTTTTTCTTGCTCAATAAATTTGTCAAGGGTTCAGCAATATTAGAAAAATTGGAACAAAATTTTCTATAGTATCCAGCCATACCGTAAAATCGCATTAGTTGTTTTTTATTTTACTGAGAGACGCAGGGAATTCAGAGATATACTTGACCTTAGCATCTATAGGTTTAACTTTCCATGTCCAACAACATGTCCTAGAAATGTTACACATGTACGGCAGAAATCACTTTTGGATAAATTGATTGTCAAACTTGCGTCAGTGAGTCTGTCAAAGAATTTCCGAATTATTGCTAGATGTTCTTTCTATGTGTCGTTGTAGATGATGACAACATCGATATAAGCATCACAACAATCTAGACCAGAGGTAATCATAATCATCAAACGCTGAAAAGTACTTGGCGAACCCTTCATCCCAAACGACACCACTTTGTATTCATACAGTCCATGGAATTTGCGAAAATCCTTTCATAAGGTCAAACTTGGTGACATATTTGGCATTT